TTTAAGGCAGCAGTTCAGTAAAGGCTTCTGCTTAATTTTTTGTTGCTCTTTGGCTTAGTTAAATGAGAACGTGTCTGCATCCCAGCTCATTACCACACGCTCAGCAGACAGCCACTCGCCGTGGTTCTGTCTCTAACCATTAGCTGTAACATCCCTGATCCCAGTTCTTTTTCACTCCCAATATTAACTCCTCCACAGCAGATGAAAGCTCCAGGTCTCCACAAAGCCATTGGGAAACCCTCTGTGGTGGGCACACACACTTCAGGGATAGGCCCAAAGAAAGACAACTGCTTTGATCAGCCCCGGATCCACGTGTGAGAGGTACAAGTGCTGCCTTGTCAATGCAAATTCCAAACAGATCTGATTTATGTGGATCTGTTTACAGTTCACTCCTGAAATTTCTCCTTTGTTTAGACAACAGAGCATCAAGTGGGAAGGTGAGACAGGAGTGTTAATACAGAACAAATAACCTCACAGAGAGAAAGGAGAGATCGCTCTTCCATGATGTTTTGGGGACATGTAGATGAACACTGCTTTTCAGCACCCCAAAAGCAACACGTAATGCACAGCCTCCAAGGGACACAGATGTCCTGTTCTCCCCATCAGATGGGATTTCCATGGGAATCAGGTTAACATGCAACTGTTCTGGTCACCGAGGAAACCAAGGCCAAGGCTCTCAGGGTTTGTCACCTCCATCGCACTGAGCAGCAACCCCTAGGAAAAGCCCAGGCTCTCTGGGAGCTCTGCAACAGTGGAAAGCTGGCCTTGTGCTGCTTCCCACACCCCAGCAAAGAAGCCTCTAATCACTGGGGAAGTGGTCTCTAATCCACATCCATTAAATGCAGAACCATAGCAAACCACTTGCAGTTCGGAGCAGGACATGATGTTCTGCCATGTCCCCAGTAAGCGCCCTCTCTCAGACAATATGCAGACATCAAAGCAACTCCCTCTAACCACTAGGGACAGAAGGAAGAGAGGGAAGATCTACCCACCTTCCTCTAGCATCAGTGAGCCTGATTCCTCCACTTCTATCCATGCAAATAGTCCTACTGCAACTGGAAAGTCATGAAATGTGGCACTGCAGAACAGAGGGTATTTGAGGAGAGAAAGAGGAGAAATTAACAGGATTTTTGCAGGAGAGAAATGATTTAGAGCCTTGGGAGCAGGACTCTATTGCAAAATGCTTGTTCAGATCCTACAGCAGCGTGCAAAGCACACACACACCAGGGAGGAGACACCCCTATTTGCTCCATGAGCCCTGCAAAGCCTCCTCCGTCCTCCCCCATCCCATGCAGCCAAACTGGATAGAGGAGATTGGCCTTGTTTACAGACACACCATGAGCTGCTTAGAGGGGTTCTAAATCCCTGTTTGATGTGCAAACCAGTAGCTTAGCTCCTGTGCCTTTGTCAAGCAGCCCTGGCTCTGCTCATCCCTGTGTGTGTGCCTCTCAGTTCAGATTAAAAGCTCCTTGTGCCATCATCCTCTCTCAAGGTAAGCCCCTCTGGTAGTGCCCACGCTGGACCCTGTCTGCTGCCTCTCCTTTAGCTGATCCATTGGGAAAGGGCTTTTACATCCTCATTAGGCTCATCACCTCCCAGTGTGTGCTCCCCCAGAGGCACTGAAGCATACTTGCTCTACCTCTGCAGATGTTATTAAGCTGCTTACCGAATCTCACCACTGCAGGCTGCCTCTCTACGTTCCTAAGGAACTACAGACCCCATTAAACGCACTTTTCCTTCTCTTCCTCCATTTGGCATAGTATATCCCCATTGTGACTGCAATTTAATTAGCACCAAGGAAAGCATTTGCCAGTGTTTTCCACTGCAGGACACCACCTGCAGAGAAGGATGCAGCAGAAAACCCAGCCTGCAGTCAAGAGAGGAGACATCACTCACCTTTCCTACACAAACTGGCCTGGGAGCAATGAGCATCACCAAAGCTTATTCTTCCAGGTAGGGTCTACATATTCCATGCCCATGGCAGGGGGCTGGAACTAGATGATCTTTAAGGTCCCTTCCAAGCCAAACCACACTGTATGTTCCGCAGTGCTGCAGATGGCCAGCACTTAGGTGAAGCAGTTCCCCTCTCTTCCCTACAAAGGGACTATCTGAGGGCAAGAACCAACCTTACCTCTCAGCAGCTGGATTAGCCTGCCCCAGGTTTAATGAATACATATAGTCCAAACACTGGCTGGAGCAGTAGGAGGAGATTAAACCCAGCAGCTGGATATAAGCCCAGTGCAGACACAACCTAGACTTCAAATGAGGAGCTAGATAGCACTTTGATCAATGGAGAGCAACAGAGATGTCAGACAGGCGAGCACCCTTCTTTACCCAACATCCTCTAACACAAGAACTTAGTGCTCTTTCAATCTGTGCTGGAAACAACCAACTCTTACACATTTGAGATTTGCACAAGCATTTGGTGACCCAGGGACTATAGAAACCAGTGCTCTTTATTTTGCAAGCCCAAGCACCTCCACTCCCAGTCACAGAGAGGCAGAAAAAGCAGGAATGTACTATTCTGAGGACATGATGCCATCAACAGTCAACCCAGAGAAGATACAACAGTGTGAGACGGTGCAGATGGATAAAATCCTAAACCAAGGAGATGGGTTTCTTTAGTCAGTTCAGAATTCAGAGTTACACAGGGCAGCTCTTCCCAAATCCCACCTCCCCCGGGACCTAAGGAAACCTGTGAGCCTCAGTGCTAATTGTAATAAATCTGTAGTGCCACTGAGCAGACACAATACACTCGAGTTTGCTCCATGATTAAGAGATCTCTGTAATACCCCCAGGTCCCCAGTGTGCCCCGAGCAGCAAGATGCTGCTAACATGCATCAAACAGAAGAATATCTCAATCATCACCAGGGCTGACGGTGGCTCCGAAGCTGATCAATAGGGCAATTAGATTTTATCAGCGCACACCTCTCGGCCACCACCTTCTGCTGTCACTGCAGAAGCCTCGGTTCAGGGCTGCCAAGTCCAGGTCTCACTGAGAAGCATCAGCTGAGGCAGAGTTCTGCCTTATTTCGGTAGATTTTTGCTGTTGGTTTTCTGTATTTCCTTTAAAGGTGCGGTATCAGGGGTACTTCAAGCAGGAGTTAAGCTGCCAGCTATTCTTATCAAGGTGTCTTGCTTCACTACCTCACTCCAAACCCCTTGCAGGCTCAATCTCTACATTTTAGAGAAACCCTCAACACTAACTCTTAAAATTAGTTCTATCCTCCTCTCCTTCTACCCCTGCCAGTAGAAAGAAACAGAACCAAGACATAAACCCAGCCATCAGCATCAGCTACGAATCCCAGCACATTCTGCTTCTGTTCCCTTGACTCGCATGTTTGAGAGGTGGTGACACAGGTACCAGCTCAGCACACCTCTGAAGTTAGAGTTGGCAGGTTCTGCATAGACTTTGCCCAATGAGGCTTCCCTTGATCAACAGACATGTAAAGTGAGCCAGCTCCAGATGGGGGGGGAAATCAGGGTTAAAGTGCCCTTGTAGAGATGCAACGATGCCCCCTCTCCCTTTAGATACCCAATGCCCTCATCATCCCCATACCTGCTCTTCTGCTGACCAATTCCTGTTAGACACACCAATCTGTTTTCTATTTCTCACCATTTCCTATGGTTAAGAAACTAACCAGGGAATCTCAAATAATACTAAGAAAGAAGAATGAAGACTTCTGCATCTGCTCTTTTCTACTGCTGAACACTGGTGTGAATGAGAAGCACCCTTCACACTGCTGGAATGGATCTCAGAGAACTTCAGCAACACTGGTCAAGCCCAGCAGTTTCTCTGTAAGCAAACAACATTGTAAGAACCATTTTAACAGAGAGGGTCAGCTGAGATAGACTCCAGCAAGATCATACAGGAAAACCTACCTCTGGCCAGCTGGGCTCTTAGAGCTGTGTAGGCAAAGGGGCTGTGGAGGCTGGTTAATGAAGAGAACACAGAGATTCAGCTGTGACATACCCCAAATCCCCCAGTTCAGCACAACACGAATACGGGACTGAACACTTGACCACTAAAGCAGTCACCTCAGCACAAACTCCAGCAGGCAGGAGGAACCCCTCTGGAAAGGGGTCAGGCCTCACACAAAAGGCAAACCAGGTACCTGTCAGGTTACTGAATATCCTCCAAAGTCATTTCGAGAGCCTGTTAGATGTCGTGTTCCCTTCAGATCCAGGGTTTAGTTACACAGCCAGCAGAATGACTTACAAGAAAATATGATACCCACAAACATACATAAAGCTACATACAGAAAAGATTTCCAGGAAAGGCCTACATAAGCATACACAGAGAAAGCCAACCCTGATTTGGAAGGACAGGCACCACTCAATAGCATAATTCCCAGTTTTTCCCCAACTTTCATTTATAATCATAAATAATCCTCTAGTTTATTACCACTGCCTCACTTGTTGCCTGATTCATATCTATCGCCAAAGCATCCTCGCCCATAGCTCCTGCACTGACATCCATAGAGGCACAGTGCAGAACCCAAGAGCAGCATTTCTGGTTTCACCACATTAAGTTGCAAGCAGATGAGCCTCCCCACAAAGCCAGGTAGAGCAATAAAACCAAACAATCCTGCTCACAAAGGAGCTGGCAGGCACAGAGGCAGCACGGGGAACCTCTGATTAATGAAATTACAAATCAAGCCATGCTCTCTGCAAGGCCTTTCTGCTTCACTTGACACCAACCCTGGGGACATTTCACTTCTTCGCTGGCGCAAAGCTCCTTTGCCAGGGGTTGAACACAGAGCCCTGGATTTGAGAACAACACAGGGCTGAGATCTCAAAAGGACTTTAATATTGCCATGAAATCCTTTCAGTGTTCATCTTCAGCCAGAATATTAAGAAGCCTTCGCACAGCTCACTCCAAAGTGTAACACAAACAGGCACAGACAAAACAACTGCTGCAATAACGAAGAAAGGAAAGAGAGAAAGAGAGGAGGGAAGGCAACAAACCCGAGGCAGCAGGACCTGCTCCAGCTGCTTACCTGCTGCTCCTAAGCCAACATCGATGCTGTTTCTCTTGAATTCACAGCGGCTCTGGGTCTCTGGCATAACGAGCTGACGGCTCTGATGCAGGTTGGAGATGATAGTGGAAAGGTCGTTATCGCGGCTGCAACAGAGCAGAAAAGCACCAAGTTAAGGCAATCCTATTTGCCACCACATAATTGATTTCTGTGTGTATGAGCATATGTGTGCGCGCACGCAAGAGCCTTTTGTCTGCCTCTGGCAGAGCTGTATTTCACTCAAGGTTCTCCCCCTCCTACCCATCAGGTTCCTAAGTAACCTCCTCTCATTTTGGGGAGTGGAGACTTAAGTGCAAAGCACTTCCCAAACAGCACTCTCATTTCCCATCAAGGGCTCTGCAGCTGCCAGAGCTCCTGATTTCACTTTTGCCAGATATAACTTGCGTGGGCCAGAACTTACATCTCAGATGGAAAAACTCAAAGTGTAGGAACTGGCACATCTATTCCAGAATTAATAGGAAACTTGAACTGAAAGAACTGATAGTTTTCTATCAGTTGCCACCCTTTTTAGTCTTAAAAACAAAGTCAGTTTTTTCCATTCCATCACTGCTGGAGCACAAGAATACTTTAGCTACTTGAAGGCTAGTTCTTTGAAGAGAAAAACCCACCACGAAGCTGGACAGCAGCACTGCTCATAGCTGAGGGGACACAGTTATCTACAAAGCTAATTTCCAGCTCTTCAACAGATCCTGGAATAATGCTCCCTTCTGTCCAGGAAAAGAGAATGCATTAGAGCAGTTCAGCATCATGCTGTCCTTGCATCCAATTGCTGCTGAGTTGGCTAGTTTTGTCTTTTACCCCTTCCTATGGAGAAGGAGAAAGCAAAAAGCCATTCCCTGTAGCAAGTACTGCAGTTCACCTGGCAAATGCTTTTGCTTGGAAGCTGCTATCCACTTGTGCAATATTGTTGACTAAATGATACACAAACACTGAAGAACAAGCTAAAACATATAAGTGACGCTCAATGGAAATGCTGGAACGGCTCCCTTTTGTATGTTAAATCACTCATCCTTTTAGCACAAGGTGCTGGCTCCAAGCTGAACGTGGCTATTTTAATCCCTCCCCTCTTCCTCAATGGAAGCTGACAGCCAGGAGAACCAGAGACACCGGGAACAGAATCACACAGATCAGCAACAGTGCCCTCCCTCCCACAGCTCCTTCCCAACCTCTACTCACATGCCAAGAGCACCCACTCTGTGCTGCTGTGACACGCAGCACATGACACCAGCTCCCTGGTGCAGAGGAGAGGGTCCTCACCTGGGCCCGGCAGGACAGCACGGAGGGTGCGTTCATTATCTGCAGAATCACCTAGCTATGATCTTCCTTTAAATATCCCCCCTTCTCCCCCCCCTTACCTCCTCCCCAGCAGGGCTATCAGCACTAGCAACAGGAGCAGATCTGCTCAGATGCTCCAGCCAGCGCAGCCCTAGCGCAGAAGCAGGGGCTAATCTGTCGTCTAGCTCCCTGCTAATCAGATAAGTTTATGACAGAAAGTCTTTAGACAGAGGTACTTTCAGCGGGTGTCTGGCTCCAGATTTTCACAAGATGCAGCAGACAAAAACAGACTCTCTGTTCCCCCCCACCCCCAGGCTCAGCCAGCAGATAGGATGCTGGGCTCCCAAAGCCTTTGAGCACCCATTGCATCTTCCTCCGCTAAACCAGTTCAGATTCCTCCTTATGCAAGCAGAAGGCTAATTACTTAAGCAAGCCCACAGGTGAGTGGGAAGCCCATTTCTCCTGTGCCAAGCAGTTTTGGGTCTTATCTTCTTTTAGCTGCCACCTTTAAGATGCATTATGCAAATATTTGGGTGTCTTAAGTCATTTATGGGATTAATGTGAAGTGATTATCAGTTCTTTTTAATCATGCCAATCAATAACTGGATGTCAGGGACAGAGGACAAATGCAGATAAACGCTGCCATCAGCACAACGCTGGGGAAAGGGCGGAGGAGAGGAGCCAGAAGTGCAGAGGGAGAGAGGCAGGGAGTAGGAAGAGAAAAATGGGATAATTGCCTCTTTGCATTTGCAGAGCATCTTGCATCCCAATCCGAGCCCAAAGCACCTCTGATACATCAACACGGCAAGAGAGCCATCAGAAGGAACTGTTTTATCCTCTCCTTCTGGAAAGGACCATTGGAAAAGACCATAGCAACTCCTTCACATGACCTGATTGTCCAAACACTGTGATCTATCCACTGAAAACTAAACCCAGGAGATCTGCGTGGATGAAAACATGACCACATCCCAGAAGTAGTATCTTTCTTTCCCAACAATCTTCTGTTTTTAGGAGACTTTCCACGGCTTTAAAACCAAATCATCATGGTATGCAAAGGTGTGATAGCAAGTCCTAACTCCACACGCAAGCAGACAGCACAGGGCTGACAGGTATACCCTACAGGCTCCAACTAAGCCTCCCCACACTATTAGGCAGGAAAAACATGACTTTGCTGGAATACCTTTGCAGAAAGCAAACTGAGCACCAAGGTGACATTGAGAGGAAAGGGGAGAAAAGACCAGAGATAAGGCAAACAGGCTGAGACAGCTTTTAACACATCAGACTGGCCCCAGGAGCTGTTCCTTCTCCCTTAGTGCACAGGAGGTTGGAAGCAGAGGCTGCCTTTTTGTTCTGGGCTTGTTCTACAAGTGGCACAACAGCAGGTAGCTTATAGCTGGGGCTCAGCCTTAGCATGGGGAAAGAGACTGAACAGCACCCAGAGCTCCTTATGAAAAGCTGAGATGCCTTTCTGCACAGGTGAAGACTTTTAAGCATGTTTTAACACCCTGTAGGCCAAGCCCAAGCAGATACAGCTCCATTCAGCTGCAATCAGCCTCCCTCATCAGCTCGTGCAATCAGCACTGCATGGACTCTAATGAGGGACACACCTGTGTAAGGCTCTGCTTTGACCACAAAGGACTTTCCACCACCATGTTGGATCGGCAGAATAAAACATCAGTTTTGGTGCTGCAGGTGAGAACTCTGCCCCCTCCCCATTCCCTGTGGAATGTAGGAAACAAGAACTGGTACCAGAGACCCTCCTGAACCTCCATAAAGCAAAGTCATAGAATCATTGAAAGGTTTGGGTTGGAAGGGATCTTAAAGCTCATCCAGCTCCAACCCCTGCCACGGGCAGGGACACCTTCCACTAGAGCAGCTTGCTCCAAACCCCATTCAACTTGGCCTTGAGCACTGCCAGGGATGGGGCATTACTTATTTAGTTCAACAAGCTGCTTTCCATCCCGGTGCCATTTAATAAAGGCAGTCAAGTTTGGGGTCTAGCTGAGACTTGGTCCTTCAGGCACTCCACCAATGACTCAGTGCTTTAGCCAGGAAAAAGGGCTCTGCCCAAGTACCAGCAGTTCTCAGGAATTACCTGCTTTGGCACACTCACTGTCTTACACTGCAGCTGCCCTCCCAGCCCTGCAATCACACTGTCTCCTGCTGCCTGGCCCTGGAAGAGTACAACACACACACAGCACTACACAGACCAGGGGAAAGCCATAAACGACCTCAGCCAAATCCCAATCCCAGCCCTACAACCCAAACCATCCACCTCAGCCCTGCCTCATCCAAGAGCCATAAAACCCCCAGGAAACAGCCTATTTCTTCACAAAACCCAGCCAGTTTGAATTCAACCCACACATACCTGGTTCCAAAGGCAAACTGCACTGCACAATGGGCTCCCCTCTACAGCACAGCCCCGTGACCCAGCTAACCCCTGCAATTATGTGCAACAAGGAACACCTGTGGTCCATTAGTGCCCACAGCTGGGCAGGGGGCTCCTCTTGCTGCCAGATGCCCATGTTTTAGCTCCTCCATCCATGTTCCAATTCCATTTAACTGGTCCCCAATTCCTTCATCCCATTCCTTGTTTTTCACTCTAAACTGTTGGCTGCAGACCTTGTGCAGATGAGGCCCAGCACAGCACCCACCACAGCCACCCTGCAGACACTGGGTCTTGATGCACAGAGCCAAGCATTGCAAAACAGAACCCAAATGAGTGCCACAGCATGGAAACAAGACCCTCTCCCTCAGCACAGGTTACTCTCTGCCTTCAACTTGCTTTAATGGTTGTACTTGATGCTCTTAAAAGTCTTCTCGAATCTAGCTCATTCTATGAGTCTACGATAACCAGAGGTGTCCCTGCCCATGGCAAGGGGTTGGAACTGGATGAGCTTTAAGGTCCCTTCAAACCCAAACCATTCCATGATGATTCTGTAACACAGGACAGTGTTCTCAAATGACAGCAAGTCTCTTGGGGAAAAGGCTATCTGTTGCTCTTGGTTTACACATCACCTAACTTGCTCACAGCATTCCCGTCATATGCAGAACAGGCAGTCAATTCATGGGCTCAGGGCTGCAGCAGGCAGAGACAATGCAGGATTGAAGACCCTTCCTTCAAAGGGAGTAACACAAGAAAGGAATATCCAGCTTCCAGCACCTCAGGACAAGATCCTGAACACACCATTTGTGGTTACCAGCATACACGTAGTAATCACAGCATCATCAGTGTTGGATCATCCAATCCAACCCCCTGCCAAGGCAGGGCTACCCAGAGCAGGCTGCACAGGAACATGCTCATGGCAGGTTGGGGAAGCCTCCAGAGAGAGACTCCACAAACCCCCCTGTGTAGCCTTGTTCCAGTGTTCTGACACCCTCAAAGGTATAAAATTCTTCCTCATGTTGAGGTGACACTTCTTGTGCTTTAGTTTATGGCCACTGCTCCTCATCCTGTCCCTGGGCACCAATGGAAAGAGGCTGGCACCATCCTCCCTGCACCTGCCTTTGAGCTATTGATGTGCATTGATGAGATCCCCTCTCAGCCTTCCCTTCTCTGGACTAACCAGGCCCAGCTCCTGCAGTGTCTCCTCAGAAGAGATGCTCCAGTCCCATGATCATCCTTGTGGTCCTAGCTCCCTACGCTCACTGGAAGGGAAACTGAAGTGGCTGTGAGAGCATCCCCTCCAAAGTCCCCATCAGCTCTTCCACGGCCCCAGTGGGAAGGAGCCCTGGGTCCTTCCCGTGTAGAGGATTCCATCAGTGTGCTGAAGGCAGCAATTCCACCCCAGAGCTCACTCCCAGCCCTGGC